CTTTGAACTTTTTTAATGAAATCTTTAATTATTTTTTGATGTTTATTAAAAATGATTAAAATAAAATATTAAATTAGATAAAAGTAATAGAACAAAGCAATAAAATAAATTTATTTAAAAGTGTTCAATACATTTGCATTGAATGAAGTACATTAATCTTTGTTTTAGAGTAAAAAGATTTAATAACATGATCAATATTATTCATCCAGTCTGAATCACTTTCCATCAATTTTAAAAATTCAGAAACTTCAATAGCACCTTTTTCTGCAGTGTCTAATTGATCCATAACAGTTAAATTAAATACATAACATAATGATCCTGTTGATGACTCTCGAGAGTCGAAATATTCTAAAACATCCATAAATACAGAATAGTCTAATGTAATAATTATATTAAATTCTTTCTTACAATCTTGAAATTTCTCAGGAGCACTTTTAAGGTTTGCATTTCTATCAAGCATTTGATATATTTTATTTTTCCTATAATACTCAACTGATGCCTCGTCTTTTGGTAATGAATTTTTAATGTCTTTATAAGGAATACCAAATTGAAACCCAAAATTTCTTGTTGCTCCAGGTAATATTGTATATACACCTGTTCCAAAAGAAGAAACATTATATCCTAATTGTTTTAAACGGCAATGAGCTGAAATACTTCTGTTTTGATTAGACCTACAAATAACAGCAATCGATTCACTAAAATGGTTAGTTTTAGGTTGAAAAATATCCATTACCTATTTCTAAATTTTATTTGCTTTCTTTTTAAGTTTATTTTTTTGTTATTTCAAAGTTGTTATTTTTTTCTTTATTATCCAAAAATTTCATTTAAATTTCATGTAATGAAAATATCGTACTTTTTGAAGAAAAGAAAATTATTTAATCACCAAATGTCTCTTGGTTATTTTAAAATTAAAATATATATATTAAAAATTAACAGAATATTATTATTGTTTTTATTTAGGTGATTAAGACATCTATTTCTTCTTTTTAAAAGAAAGTCTGTTCCTTTTAATAAAATTTTTATTCAATGTACTTTTGAGTAATTCTTACCATTTTCATAATTGTTGAATTTTAATCTATTTTTATTATTCGTTAAAAATTTCAATTTAAAAGAGTTTGAGTTATTTCTTTAAATTACAATATTGTTTATTTAATTTTACAATAAAATAATAAGTAACTCATTAAGTATTAATAGAATTTATTTCTATTGTCCATTATTTATTTGAGACTATTCTTATTCACTGCATCTTCTTCTTGTATCTCTATGGAGTATCTTTTATTGTGATAGAATAAATACTCCATTACATCCATCATGTTTTTTTATTACATGTTTTTAACCTTTAATAATGTCAATTTCAATTTTTAATTCTTTAATTAATTTATTACTTTCTTTATTTACTATTTCATTGACTGAGATTACTACTGGATTTATTCTAACATCTTTTAATTTTTCTATTTTCATTATTCTATTCTTTATTTCTTTATACTTATTTCTTTTCTTCCAATATTCTCCATTTATATTGTTGGAAGCAACAATATTGTCATATCAAATAATAGACAGTTTTATTCTTTTTATCTATTACATATATATGTTTTTTTATGATATTGTCATTCACTTTTGCATTATTTGTTTATTCCATGTCATAGTAATGTATTTATATTGGAACACTGTTTCATATGGTGATTTTAAGTAATAAATACTGACTATAAACAAATTATAAATTATTAATAGATATTTAATTATTAAATAACTGTCATAACGAATAATACTATGATTTTATTTTTAAGCTAATTCGTTAGCTCTTTAATTAACCAAGATGATAAATATTGTTCTAATTTTAAACCATGAAACTCACATACGACAAAATTATAGATAGTGTTCTATAATTCTTTATAACTGTAATAACAATGAAGTTATAAAAGTGGTTGTGTTAGTATCTTCTCAAATGAATTTTGACTAACTCTTTAAAAAGATTTTTGGTTTTAGTCTAGTTAATTTCAACTAAATAGAAATTATTTGGATATATTTAACATACACAGCATTTATTATTTCAATAATCCTCTTCTTTGAGTTTATGCAAAATGACCTTTTACGTTATCTTGATTTATTGTTCAAAAGTAACTTGGGTATTATTATTTTTGTCTTTAGAAGTTAAGAACAAAACTGAAAGATTAAAGATTTTAAAAAGAAAAACAAGATTGGTTGAGAAATATTTACAGTTAGATTCTATTTAGAATAATAAACCCTTATCACATTCTATCCAAGGTACTATGCTTTATTTTAACATTAATTTGCTCTATGAGAGAGTTTGGAAAAGTATAGATATAGAAAGGTAATAATACTCTTTATTTTTATCAAAATCAAAGGATTTAAATCTAGGGTTTAGATTATTTCTCTTTAACGAAGGGATATGTCGTTATCATCAATATTCATTGGATCCGTTATAAAAACAATTGATGATATTCCTACACTCAAGAGATTAATTTTTGTAAATAAAAAGGTAAAACAAGTTATGAAAGTTTTACACGAAAGTCCATTTAAAATAACAAGCTTAAAAGTACTTCAACAGGTATTATTCTTGTTTGATAATTTATCTTCAATCACAATAGACGCTTCCTTGATTTGTTTGAAAGAAGAAACTTATAAAAGATTTAACAAAATTCAAATAAATTTTCAAACTTTTAAAAGCATCCAATTGTTTAACTTAAAAGAAGGACAACATTTTAGTGATGAGATTACTCAGAGTGTTCATGAAATACATTTAAATGAAAATTATTCTCATTTATATAACTTTAAGAATCTAGTTAAACTAAAAACAACAGTTTCTATTTGTTTTAAAGTACTAGACCAATTTATTGAATATGGAAATCCTTCAATACAATTTATTCTTGATGAATGTAATGTAGATTGTGTTTTTTTATTAAATACTATTATTGATACTTTAAAATATGAAAAACTTACTGCCATTTTTGATGTTCTTAATAAACCAACATATAGGTCTATTCATACAAATGATAAAATCCTTATTGTAATGAAATCAATTGATAGTTATTCTCCTCAACTATCAGATAATTGTATTTTTTATTCAAAAGTTCCTATTCAATCAACTTCTTTTATTCCTCATTCTTATTATATTTCTCAATGGGTTTATTGTAGAGACGTTCACTCTCTTTCATTGTCTTATTCTTCCGTTATTTTAAAAGAACCATTGACTCAATCTCTTACTTCTTTTAACCAACTGTTTAGAATAAAGATTATTGATTCTACAATTAATAATCGTTGGTTACCATCATTTCTTATAGAAATTGAATTGACTCGATGTAAGTTTGAGCCAAGACTAATTCAATTCTCAACCTTTAAGTCATTACATTCCTTAGTTTTAGATAGCTGTAATATTACTGGTATACTTTTACCTCCAAAAATTAAAGAATTAACTATCCAACATTGCCATTCTCTTCTTTCATTTCCACCACTATCATCTCTTATTAATTTAAGACTATTCAAATTCTTAGATAATGGATCATTTATAGAATTAGACATTCCCTCCTCACTCGTTAATACTTCTTGTTAATTTATTGACTTAAAAAAAAATGGAACATAAAATTATTTAATTAAGCGTAATTATAAATTTGTTATAAGTACAACAAACATTTCCTTCACTTAATGGAATTAATTCTGCTTTTAACTGATATTTTTGAATAGCATCATAATATTCTTTTTCACAATTAAGATATCGAAGAACATTGTTTACAATTAAGCATTTTCCATTCTTTTTTAATAAAAATGAAATTGTTTTCATTAAAGGATCAACTAATTCTTTTGTATAAAATATTTCAGAACCTATTATATAATCATACTTTTCACTTAATAAATCAACATTAAACCAATCTAATTTTATTGATTGAACATTAGGAATAACATCTTTGTTAAGTTCAATATTGTCTTGTTCCAATTGAAGGATATCATCTAAATAATCACTTATGACTATTTCTTTTGCCCCTTTACAACAGAATGAGGCATAACCAACTCCAGCACCAACTTCAAGAATTCTTTTACCTTCAACAAATTCATTACACATAAAATTTCCTAAAATTTCTTCTCCTTCCCATAACATTCTTCCAATACAATCATCAATATTTCTATAATCAGGAGAAAGTGTTTTGATATGAACCATATAATTTTCATTTTTTCTATGAACTTCTTTATCAATTATTTTGTAATCATTTATATAAAAAAGATTACTCATACCTTCTCCTTCATAACTCATTTTAATTAAATATTTAATAGATTTTTACTTTAAAAAAAAAATAGACGAGAATTGTATCAATTATTTTATTATTAGTGTTTATATGATGTTAATACTTCAACAAAACGTGGTGCCTCATTAGTAAACATAAAATAAGTTTTTTCTTTTACTTTCATTCCAATAGAGCCACTATCAATCATTATACAATTTGTAATATCAACATATTGAATTTCTGTCTTTGTTTTACCATTGTCCTCAACAATAGTTAATACTTCTGGTGTCATAATCAATGTCTTTTCTACCATAGTATTACCTTCAACAACATGTCTAACAGGGAAAATATCAACCATTAGATTTTTCTTGTTTGTAGTTTCTTTTTTGAACAACTCAAAGTAATTTTAATTTGAATAAAAAAAATAATAAGGGTTAGGTCATTTTTAATATATAACACAATTCTATTTAATTAAAAATTCCGTTATTGTATTATAATAACTTCTTCTCTTATTATTATTTATTTATTTGAAAATTTAAAAGGTAATGAGTAGTGTTAATTAAATTCAAATATCTTAAGACAAAGTCATAGAATTTTATTTAACCTTATTATATCATTAAATTTATTTAGAAATTATTGAAACATTTTTATTTTAGGTATTTGTAATGATAATTAAGAAAAACTTATTATACTTTAAACGAGGTTTATGTCTTTAACAAGAAAAAAAACCATGATTAAAAATAAAACATTTATAATTCATAAAAACCATTCATTTGATAAAATAACAACTTCAATATAAATTATTCTAAGCGAAAGCAACTTCATTTTATTTAAATTTAATTTATTTAATTGTTTTTTTTGTCAAATTCTGTGAAACAAATTTATTTTTTTGTATTAATAAATCTTTATAACTCACAACAAGAAAAATCGTTTATTTCAATAATTTATGTATTATCACTTCTATTATAAAGCATTCTACAATCTGTTCTATAACTCATTTAACGAAATAAATATTTCATTTTTTATATTATTTTAACAAATACCATATCATAAAACGTTATTTATAACCAAATAATTCAAAATAATATTTTTAGTATTACTTCTGTATCATTTCTTCGTTTGAATCTTTATAATTCTTGTGCATTAAAGATGTTTATGAAATTTTGATGTATTTTTTAATAAATCTATTCTTTTTTCTATAAACTTATTTAGAATAGAATTTCATTATTGTTGGTCTAGAGAAAACAAGAATCAATTAAATTATTATTCTAAGAAAATAAATCCAATTAAAAACAAATTCTACTTTATGACAATTATTCATTCTTTGTAGTATTGTTCTATCCTTCTTTTACTTCACAACATTTTTTATCCATTTCTCATAACAAATATTATTTGTCATAATCCAATAAAACTACTATGCTATTTTGGTAGTTTCAATTTCTTTCACTTTTAATTCTTTTATCAATAAGTCAACTTGGAGTCTTTTTGAATATTTTATGAAAATGGAATAAAATATCAAGCTCCATTGATTAATGAAAAACTATGCTTTTCATTTTTAATATAATAGTACTTCTCTTTTTAATTACCCATTTAATAGTAAGTTTCAGAAGTAAGTCACAAGAAAACATTCCTTTTTGTAATACTTTCTTTCATATTTTATAGGTCAAAAACTATCCTTGAACAACTCATTTAAAGATAAAAAAGAAATTAAATTAAGACAATGGTACTCTTCATATAAAACTTTACCAGTTAATAACATTATTATTCCATTAAATCAACATGTTATCTTTTTCATTCACTCAATTAATTTTTAATTTTTTTTCAATATTAAAAGTATTTTTCAAGTGATGACTGAGGTAGTAACTCTTGTTTTAAGAAAGAAGGTTTTTGTGTAGTTTATTTATGTGATTAACTAAAGCAAATAAAATAATATTCAAGTTAATTTTCACAGAACCTTTATATCAAAGTTTTAATAAATTTTATTTTTATAAATTTTGTTGTAAAAAAGATATAAGTTATAAAATTAGATTTTGTACGTGTCATAAGAATAAATCACAAGAAATTAAAACTCACCAAACTTTCCAATTATAACTAATGTATTAAAATAAAGAATAAAAGATAAAAGAGAAAAATATTAAAAATATA